TACTTGTGTCATATTCCCCCATGTTACAAGTCAGACTTAGTACTTTATCTCTAGTAAAACATCAGTGGGTTTATAGGAATTAAATGGTTGAAATGGCATTAAAAAGAATTTGCTGTTATCGACTGCAGGAATGTGGGATGATTAGTAGTTATTAGGCATCAGGAAAAGTAGGAATTTCTTACCTTATTTTTATCTTCAGAAGTTGAATATGAGAAAATGAGATGTCAGAATGGCATTAAAACTTCTCATACTGTTTTTTCTATTTATTTTTTACAAAACTGCTACTTAGCTTGCTGTCTTAAGAAGAAAATTACAGCATTTTTTATCTCAAGCAGCAAACAGGTAACCTTCTGACCTTTTCACTAAATCCTCAACTGAACCTCTGAAATTAGGGTGATTTAGCATTTTATGGCACAGAATAAAAATCTCTAATTCTGTTTCCAAATAGTGTATCCTGAACACACATTTTATTAAGCTCTTGACTCATTCAGCCGTGTGTATTTTGTAAAGTTCCTATGGTTATTGTTTTACAATAGCTGCTTCCAGAAGCATTGTAAGGGTTTCAATTAATCAGCTCTTTGTGTGCTTCAGACTATGCAAATTTATCACATCAGACCATTCAGCAGCTCATGGGAAAGCAGTGTACAAACTGTATTGTCTTCTAGCACCTCCTCTCATTTAGAGTGATGTTTTTAATAAGAAAACTAATCAAGTTTACTTATGCATTATTTATCTGTTAATTTTAATTCTGTTCTTTACCTCTTATGTCAAATGGGATGTAGCAAGTGATATGATAGATCAGTGAATGATTCAATATTGAACAAAGCTTATGTGATGCAGCACTTTTTTTCTTCTGGACGTGTTTTGTGCTTAGTTAGCCAACACAGTGTGTAATTAGAGAGTTTTGAAGCAGATGTACATTTTTACATCTGTACATTTAAGTTTAACCTTACTAATTTTTGCAAATCTCTTTGTCACTTGTCCACAATATACGGTGCTGTGTTATAGCTACAACTCCTCTTAATTATATGACGTAGTCTTATTTCTCAGGAGTGTTTCCAAATTCTGGCAAATCTGGTAAATCTAAAATAGATGCCTTTCAAGTTAGTTTTAGCTCTTTTGCCACCATATCATTGGAATAAGTAAACAAGCACATTTAGTAATGCGCTTCTTTTTATCTTGCTGATAGAAACTGGTATTACTGCTGCTTCTATTCACTTAGTCTCCTTTGCTCTCTAATGTCCCTCCTGCTGGTAGTAATTAGTTTTCTATATTAGGTTGTTTTGACTTATTTGATGATTTTTTTTTTTCATTTGGCATGTGTGTGTATAGAAGGCATCTTACCGTAGCTGGTGAAAAACTTTCCCATACTGTTGTGTTTTGTCCCTGCCCGCTCCCTGCTGCCCCCCTTCCCCCTCTCTGCTGAACTGCTGTTTTACAAGTCTGTGTATGTTCATGTTTGTCAGCAAACCATATAAAAGATAACAATTCTGGAAACCTGAATGTCTCCTGATCAGAAAAAGAAACTCTTAAAGGACAACACGACGGGGGTGAGGGGATCTTTATGCTCTGTCAGGGCCTTGTGGAGGTACATGGGTGTTGAGATGCTGTCGGGATTGATGCAGATAGCGTGTGTGAGGATGGGGGCCATCATGCATAGTCAGAGGGCTGTCATTTATTGGCTGGCATACAATAGCATTGAAAAACACTGCCTATGGCTGGTTTATACTTGCATGTTAAACCACCGTAGATGTCTGATTTAAGTTTATTCTAATTTAAACTGTTATCCTTGCAGTAAACTGCCATGCTTATTAATCCACTTTTTTTTTTGAGAGGGATATCTTAAAAGAATTTGTTAGCATTTTCACTGATTTTGCATCTAAGCTGACATTATGAAATTCATATAAAAAGGTTTTTTTCTGTAATTCAATTTGTTTTTCAGTTGAAAAGAAATGAGATGTAGCAACCTGCTGGATGCTTTCTTGCTCAAACATACAACCCTCTTGTTAGTCCACACATTAAAAAAAAATTTTGTTTTTTGTTTTGTCTGGAAAAATAATTGCAGCCTTTTCTGGTGGTTAATGTTTGATTCTGGTCCTAGATGAGAAATCCAGACTGCATAGGTGAGAGCAGACTCAGGCCCATTGCAGTGTAGCATTTAGTCTGAAATTCTATTGCTAAATTTCAGATGCAGCATATAAAAATTTTGTATGTCCTGTGTGAATGCTGGGGAACAATTTTCATGTGATGTCTAAATCAGTAACAATTAGGAAATCTTAATAACCTGTAGTGAGAGCCACAGAGCAAAGTTACCTACTAGTTTGACTGTGTCCTCTTTATGAATATTGGATGGGGAGTAGTTGCGCAGCTCAGTTATGAAATGCAGTTTATACTTGGTCAGGGCAACATTTGGAACTTGAGGCTGTCTTAAATCCACCCTCCTCTTTTCTCCTTTACTGTTTTATTAACCAGTTGCAAATGATAATTGCACTTATATGGATTAATTCACTGGATCACTTTTTCGCAGCTGCTTGGCAATGCAGAACTGCAAGGCTTGCCTTTTACTGCCCTGCTGCAAACCCTGGCTCAGCGATCGGGGTTGAAAGAGAGTAGCAAATTCAGGAGCTTACAGTGCAGACCTGCAAGCATTAGTCTCTGAAGAGCTTCTGAAGGCAAGTGACTGCAAAATGAAATCAAGTTTAAGTTTTTAAATGAATTGCAGTTACTTGCTTTTAGAAGTAGCGTTGTATATAGGAAAGATGTCTTTCAGCTTTTTAAATAGTTTTTTACGAGAAAGAATGTTCGTAAAACATAGGGGAGGAAGAAGCTTCTCTCGTGTCCTGTTCTCTAAATACGCATGGGCACGCTATAGATCTGTTATAAATTCAGTGACTTCTTAAAATACAGAAGCTTGGAATTGAGGTTTTATAGCTTTCTCTTTTTTTCTTTTTTTTTTTCCCCTTCTGTAAAATAGAAACTTTATAAATGGCCTAGTGAGCTTCACATTGCTGGATTCTGTCTAAATATTTTGTTTTTAACTTCTAAGCTCATTATGCTGTCTTTGTGTTAACTTGTATTAAAATCTGTCAGCTATGACTGGTCTCATAACCACAGTCAGCGGACCAGAATAAGTTAATTATTTACTTGTGTCACTAGTGCTCTTCATCTAATGAAATGCACAGCTGTGTTAGATCTGCAGTTGGGTGTGTAGGTCCCATTGTTATACAAGTCAGCGGAGGGTAGAAGCCGCTATGATGGAGAGCCCTCAGTTCTTTCTGCTGTTCTGCCTTTCTGTGTCGATTTCATGGATCTTTTATCATTCACTTTCACACAAAACAAACAACACAGTGGCTGTCTGCTATGGGAACCAGCTTGGCATATAAAAGGTTTTCAGAGCCTAAAGTAATTTTAAGTTAGCTAAGATTTAATTTTTGGCTTACAGGTGCCACGAAGTCCAGATGCAACCTAATGCTTTCTTAGGAGTAAATGCAAATAAGGCAAAATGTATGTGCCATAATACATATATAATAAAGTATTTATGTATACAATTTTAGGATTAAAAAGCTGTGTGCACAAGAAATAGCGGGTTGGGGTTTTTTTCGTTTTCAGCAAATGATTGCTGCTTGGCAGGGAGGGGTAGAAGGATGTTATTGATTTATCATAACAGAACAATGAAAATTAGTTTCAATAGGTCTAAAAACTAAATACAACAACCCCCCCCCTTGCCCCAGATGCTCCAATCCTTTTTTTTTTCCTGCTCCCTTCCCCCATACTTACCATTTTCATTCTAATAACTACTGTCCCATATACCTATCCCTGTCTTGCTTGGACAGTGGAAGAGGAGCTCCCTCCTGAGCAGACGCCAATATCCCCCTGTGAACTGGCTGGTCGGGGGATGCCTTTTTAGGGATGTAACCAGCACCCTCAGTCTTCCAGGAGCCCCCTCCGCTCCAGGACTGTTCCCAAAGCGTGCTCTGGCAGTTGTAGCAGGCTGATCTCAAATAGCTTGCAGACTTTTTCAGTTCCAAGGGCTTCTGGAAGAAATTGTCCAACTGAAACAGTAGCTTTGGTTCAAAGGAGTATAGGCTTAGGCAGCTGCATTTTAGCACCTGAATTTGAATGTTAGATCTCTTGGTCATTTATAGCTGCAGTATTTTGATCTCCAGAATTCACTGTAGAAACAGTTGTAAGGGTTGGAAGGAAAATTTTGGGATGTATGATAGACTATTTTAAATGAGTTTTCATGTTCCTGTTTAATCTTTCCTGAATAGTTTTAGAGTTTGGGGGGTTTGTTTGTTTTACATCCAATACTGATGGAGACTGAAAAAAGCTTCCAAAATTTTTAAAGGTACAGTTTGTGTTCATGGTCTGACAAAATATAAGCAGTCTGGGGAGTGGATTGTACTTTGTGATTCATCGAAAGCAGTTTTTGCTCAGCAAATGAATGCTACCTGAAAAAATCTTGGTTGTTTGGGTTTTTTTTATTTTCCTCTACTTATCTCCTCTTAGTCCCTGTCAAAGTCCTGATTGATTTGTTTTTACTTACAGTATTTAGCAAAGATACATATGATAAACAAATGTCAAATCAATAATAATTTTGTATGTCCAAAGAGATATTGTAAGAGGCCTGATTTCTTCATTTTTTTGCAGAAAATTATAGCATCAGCTTTAAAAACTTAGGTCTCCCTTGAGATGTTCCAGTCTGACTGGTCAGAAGTTTCTGGTTGCCTCTGAAAACTGTTTCTAAAGCTTTCTTCCCGAATTTGCTAACTCACAAATCACTGGGAGCATTATGTAAGGGTATGCTAATTTTGCCAGTCCTGTCACAAGGCCTCTCTTCTAGCCTGCAGGTTGTGAGCACTGGTCATGGTAATGAATCTGGGTAAAAAGTGATCCACGAGAAAGAGAGGAGGAGGAAAACACTTAAGAAAATCTGGTGATGAGCGTCGGCCCTGCTGGTGGTTTGCTGTTTGTGAATTGAAATGTTTTCTTTTCCGCAGGGGTGTGTGGACTGATTGTTCCTCAGGAAGACATGCCATTTTGCGATACAGGAATCTGTCCAGATATCATAATGAACCCTCATGGCTTCCCATCGCGTATGACGGTCAGTGGTTATGTTGCGATTAAAGAGGCAGTGTCCCCTGATAGGGGAAGTGAAGTAGATTAGCTGGAAGAAACAAAAAAAGTTTGCAACATGGTTTCACTGAGAATATTCTCCAGTCATCATGCCATGCACTTGCTCTCCTCTAAGTATTCAGCCCTCTGTTTTGCATGTTTTGAAACATCCTACTGTAAAAGGAGTAGGGATGCGGGCTGTTTGTGCATCATTCTCATTTTGTTCTGTATCAAGCTAATAGGAAAGTAACTGAATACCTCACTTGCACCCTTTCTGTTTGAAAATTTCTTGCTATTCCTCTTCCTTCCCTATTGCCTATGCCCACTAAGCCGGCTGGGGCAGACTGTCAGGCAAAGGTTGGAGAGGAGTTTCAATAATAGTTCTAGACCTATATAACACATTACACACACCTCCCTGGCACTGATGCAAGTCTTGCACCTGTGCTGCAGAGTCATACTAAATACCTCACAGCCTGGCCTTTATATGGGACCTCCACTGATTACTTCATACAGCCTATCATCTTTTTTTCTTTGTTAGCTTCTTCTTCCCTTCTGTTCCCCCTGCTGTACTGTAGCGTGTCAATCTCTGAGGCCGTTTCCTAGAGCAGAGGGCCACACTGGATCCTGCTCATTTTCCAGACAACTGGAAAAAGTGGAGCTGCCTGAATCTGTACCTTAAAGGTGTTCCCAGACCCTGCGATGAGTCTGCTTTTCCCCCTTCTCACAGGAGTACTCCCTGTTCTTGGGCTTCTTCCACTCCTCCTATTACATGCAATAACCCAGGCTGCCATCTTGGACACTTTGCCTGGCTAACTTATGCTGTGACCAGTCCAGCAATGTGCCCATATTAGTGAGCAGGCTGTTAACTCTGCTTTTCTTTTTACAGGTAGGAAAGTTAATTGAACTCCTGGCTGGAAAGGCTGGGGTCCTCGATGGCAGATTTCACTATGGAACAGCTTTTGGAGGCAGTAAAGTTAAGGATGTGTGTGAAGATCTTATTCGCCACGGTTATAACTACCTAGGGAAGGACTACGTAACATCTGGTATCACAGGGTAAGAATCTGCTGTATAGATTTACATGTTTCAGGGGAGTGGGGAAATCCTGTTGAGACGCATCTGAAAAATCTTCTCATGTCTCAGAGCTCAGGAACTTTCTCTTGTTTGCAAACCGCTCTGTGAGATGGAGGGAAGGGGCTGAAGAATGGTGCATTTCCACCCCCACTCCTCTTCCCCCCCCCCCGGAAGTATTTTGTGGTTCCACATTTTAAGAATTACTAGTATTTGCGTGGCTGTAATGTGAATGACTCTTGTAGTACATATGAAAATTTCCCAACTTCTACTGCATGACAAAAAAGTAAAATCAAGGTTTTCTTTCTGGGAGATTGTAAGAAATTCAAGTTTCTGTTGGCAGCAAATCTTGTATATGCTTGCAATCAGATAAGCATTTTCATGTTGACTTCAATAGTACTGTAAAATATGGATGTGGAGGCAGGTGTCTGTTCCTTGGGAATATTTTGTGTGTGCGCTTTTTTCTTTTTTTTTTCTTCTTTCGATTACACAATGATTCAGTCTGGCATAGTACTCTAATCTGCAGACTTCCCGCTGTGTTGATCGGACTGGCTTCTGAGACACAGAGTTCAAAGAGCATAAGATAGTTTAGGAACAGGAAAAGGCCATATGGCTTCACATGCCTGCCCTTCCAAAATGTATCTTAATCCTACCTTCCTGCTATTTTTATTATCCTCCCAGTCCCCTTCTTCTCAAGCAACAAGTTTAAGTCTCTTCTGTAAGTTTGTGGTTTCTTTTTTTGATAGTTTTTATTAGAATTGCTTTTCCTAGCAACTTATTCCATATGTTGTTTCTCGTTTTGTTTCAGAGAGATGATTTTGTTTTCCTTACCCACTCCATATTCCATAAATTGTATATCAAGTATCCTGGTGTTTGAAACATTTTTTGTTGATACATCATGCTAACTTTTAACAAATCTGACTAATCTTGTTTCCTAGGGAGAATAAAATCACCTAGCTCTAAAAATCCCCCATCCCCAAATTTCAACTTCTTAGTACTCTATTTAGAGACTTTGCTTTAAGATGCTGATATTCTTCCAGGCAAATTTCACAGGCTTAATCTATTTTTTATGAAATTTGAAGGCAGATTTCATAGCAATGTGGAAATTTGCAAATTCCAAATGTCTAGTTAAGTTTTATTATTTTCATCAATAAGCAGCTTTTGGAATAACACTGCATCATGTCAGTAATGACTCTGAATGGGAGGTACAATACTGTTGTCTCCTGCTTTTTTTTACATTGCACATACATTTTTTTAAAATAAATCAGTGGCAGTGCTGAGTTTGTTTGTCTGTGTTAAATCTGGTCGTTCTTAATGCTGAAGGTGGTAGCTGGGAAATGACTGAGTGCTTTCAACTGTTGCTTTCTGATCTTTAGGCGCTTATGCTGTTCTTACAGTTGGGGGTGTTTTAAACACAGAAATCTTTAGCCATTACTCCAGCTCGTAGAATGGAGTAACACCCTCTGTACTGCTTGCAGATGTTCCCAAGCTGATGCAAGTGCCTAAAAAGGGTTCTCAAGAGCCCTTTCACCTGGCTCGTCTAAGCCCCCAGTGCCAGGGCAGCGCTTTTTGTCCTATGGATACAGCTGCTGAGCAGTGCTGCAGGGGCAGCTGTGATGATGTACAGCTGCTCAGGGAGGGCTTTCACCCACCTGGGTCTTGGGTTGTGCTTCAAAGAGGTGCACAGGGAGAATTAGTGGATGGGAAGACTGTCAAGCTCATAGTGTGCCAGTGCTAAGCTATTCTTGCAAATGCAAATTCCTTAAAGTGCTCCTATGAAAATGATGTTTTGAGCATTTATGCTGCATGTATTTGTTTACATATATGCTTACCTTTTGTTTTGTGTGTGTATTATATGAAGTGAAGGAATGTAAATAGAAATACCATAAGTCACTCTTCAGGGTCTGACACATTTACAGTCTTTATTGGTTACCGATGACACTATTGAAGCACTCCTGCACAGACAGAGGAGGGACTTAACATGGTACATCTGAAACAGGTACCTGCAGCTATAGCAGCATGTCTGCGCAGCATACGGCCAGAGTTCAGGAGCTTGTTCCTCGCTAGGGTGGATACAGCAGTATGTGGTGCTGGAAGTGTACTGCTCTTGTGTTCAGAAGGGTTCCCTGTGGGGTTTCCAGGCTGACTGCCCTGAAAGCCCAGACACATTTTTCTAGGACTCATGATTCCCAAATTGTTTTAAATTCCTCCTGTACACAACACTCTTGTGTCTCTTAAGGTAAGTATATGCTAAATGTGAATATTGGTTTTGTTTTGTTTTGTTTTTTTTATTCTTTCAGGGAGCCTTTGGAAGCCTATATCTATTTTGGCCCTGTGTACTACCAGAAACTAAAACACATGGTGTTGGATAAAATGCATGCCAGAGCTCGAGGACCCAGAGCAGTGCTCACCAGGTATTGTTACAGGCTAAGCACAAAATTCTTGTGTACATTCAGAAGTGTGCCCAGCTGACTGATGGGTGTAAAACAACGTTTATTTACCTTTTGATACTTGACACAAAATGCTATTACCTGTTAATATGCTGTTATAGACTAAAAGCTCTCACAGTCGACTGTGGCAGGAGGTTGTTCTGAATGTCCAGGTGTGCTCTATGTGATCCAAAACTGAGTTTGCATCTCAGATTTCTGTTAGCAGTTGGTAAAAACACCATCTGCTGATTCACAGTGCACACTGTGGCCCTTTCCTGTCAGATTGCTCATATCGTAGGTATTTTAGGAGGATTTTTTTTTTTCTTTAACATTTGTACTTTTACAAAATTGGGTATGAGTAGAAGGAAGAAATTTCTTTTAATATTTCAGCATCCTTTCGCATTCAGCAGGTTAATAGTGATGCAGCCCATGTCTTCACCTGTCAAGGCAAAGCAAATGCATTGGCCCTAGTGTAGTGCAAACAAACCTTAGAATAATGAGCATCCCTGGTATACTGCACTTTGCTTTGCAGACTCTTCCATTCAACTCTAAAACTGGATTTAGGGTTGTATGTGCTGGTCCACAGTTATCACTCAATACCATGCAGGAGAATAGTACTTTCACACTAAAATTTACAGAGATGCCAACAGTAAATCTCCATTTTTATTTGCCCAGTTAAAGGTATGTCCTCAGTTCCTTTCAAGTCATGATCGTTGCACTAAGCCTGAACTTGGTTTTCTCTCCAACAAAAAGTTTGATTACCATGTTGATGTCTTCTGGTGTCAAGTTTTGAAGTTAAGCAAATGTACTCTGAGTAATAGGTAATATAAGCCCCTGGAGGTGCGCTTCTATTTTCTGGACCTTTGGGGAATTTGAAGCATCCTGCTTTCACTGATGTTACTTACCTTTTCTCCTTAAAGCCAAGCTCTATGGCTGTTTGCACTCATGTTCTAAATTGCTGATATTCCTGGCTCACAAGAAACAGTTTAGTGGCACAGGCTTTGCTTTGAGGAGGATTCTAGTGGATCGTTTAATTCACCTCTCTCCATCACAGTAGGATTATCTGCTAAACCTTGCCAGAAAGTTAATTGCCAGCTAGTCTTGAATATCCTAGCAAAAATTATTCCAAATGTCCTTTGCCAGTCTTTCTGGACTATCATGTATGCCATTTATACCTCACCTGCTGCATGGTGTACTCTTCTTTTTGACCCGTCCCTTTTGTTTTTGAGATGTAAGCAGAAAGTCATGAATGTGCTGCCCTTACTCTTCCCTATAACAAGTATGATTTATATTCTTTAGTTCTTAATTTATTTTTATGCCTCTTACCATGTGCTGATCCACTTCTCTTGCCTTGCCTGACTGCACAAGTTAGCAAGTCTGTCCTCTTAATAGGTGCAGCTTCTACCTGTTGATGTGCTATTAGAGAATGGAGAGGCAGGTCTCTGCTGTACCTGATATAGAAGTATCTTTCTCTTTTGCTTTTCTTTGCATATTTCCTGTGCCTTTTGGCTCTAGGACAAACTGAAGTTGTCTCACAATTTCCATGGAAGTAAATACCAGTGGTTGCACTGGGAGAGAAATCATGAAAAGTTTTTGTAATTCTTGGCTGAACTTTTCCACCAACCACAATAAGAAGAGCAAATGTAGCACAACAATTATTTCCTACCACAGCTGCTTGCCTATATGAACATAAGTGATATTCCCAAATAATGGGCTGTCTGCCCCATTTTTTGTTCTTCAGTGTATAAGTATTGGTATTGGTGCTTCACATGAAAATGAAAACTCGCTGTCTTAGCTAATGGTGCACGCAGTTGGTTTACTGGAGCTCCTAGCTTACCCAAATCCCTTGGATCTGCTTTTGTATTGTCTCCCCAACTTCTCAGCTGTTTAGAGATACTGAATTTAAATGAAGCCTAAATCCCAAGTCAAGGTAATGTTTGCATGTAAAGATGAAGGTGGTGTGATTTCCCCCACCCTTACTTTCTTTGAATTCTTTGTTCCAGTCAGTAGCATCATACTATGTAGCTAGGGCTCTTTATTTGACTTTCAGGAAAGCTAGTGGATATTCAATTTATGCTGCCTCTTGACTAGTCTTTTAGGAATTTTCTTTTTTCTCCTCAACTAATTAAACTTTTGTTATTGCCATCGCCTCTGCTGAGAGAATCTGCTTTGCCAGCTTTCATACTCACTATTGTTTTATCATCCATTGCACTTCCTGGAGAGTAGATTGCCTCTAACATTGTTTTTGGCTTTTAAAAGTAATCCTGTAACAGCTTCCAACATTGGCTGTCGTTTTGAAATGCATTTTATTATATATCAAATGTACCTTAACTGACAGAGCAAAGCTGTATTTCCATCTGGAATAAGGCAGAAGACTTGAGTTTCTTGAACGTCGCTGATTCTAGATACTGTTCTGATTAAAACAAGACTTTGTAGAATTGCAAAGCAGCACTCTTTGTCAACACAGTCAAAAACCACCAGGATGTTGCCCTCTGAATTGGTGTTTGTTAAATGAAATGCAATACTTAATTTATTTTGCCATGAGTAGTTGACAATTAATTTAAAATGTAGTTCTATATATGGTGTTGCCTAGATACCCAGTACTGCTAAATCTTTTTAATAGATAAACTGCTTTTAGTTTTCCTTAGAAGAGATCAATATAAGCTTTCTGCATGCATAGTTGTTTTGATGGACATTGTCAGAGCTGCCACCTGCGTGTCTTTTGAACTTATCAGATATGCCAGTTCCTATTATACTGCAAGGGAGTAATGTGATGACACTGGTCAGGGCTCCTCTCTGTGCTCTGGGGCTGTGGGAGCACGGTACGCCCTCCTCCTTCAGGCAGTGTTTTTCTAGGTAATGCTCCACTTCTTGGAGATCAGTGTTTCAGCCAACGACTCCATTTCACATTAGCTGCTGGTTTTCTGTAACAGGCACAAGGGAGATCTGCTGAGACCTACAAGGCCCGCTCTTATTCATGGGGGTAGACTTATTTCCCCCCACTGGCCAATGAAACAAGGAACAGGGTCATAAAGCTGAACCCACTGTTCTTCCAGAAAATGCAGAATTAGTGCCAATAAATTCTTAATGTGCTTAAAAACACTGAAGTTAATTGTTTTATGCTTTTTTCTAAACGCAGCTGTTAAATAGTATGAAGACCACTTGGCCTTATTTTTTTATTTAAAGAATCACTGTGTTTTATTTAGCATTTAAGAATTTTAAGAACTTACTTTTTTTTTTTAAATATGGAAAGTATCTCTTTTTAATTATATTCCCAATCTATTTTAAAGAGTCTGTTTTGTTTTCAGAATGTTATATCTAGAATAAAGAATGGAAGTAGTTGCCCAGGGCAACAGCTGCAGTGTACGTGTGTATAGCGGGAAAGGGGAAGCACAAATGCTTTATAAATACGGTTTTAACATTTTAAACAACCTTTGGTGTGAGGAATTTTCAAACTCATGTGAGCCAGAAGAAAAATCTGATAGACTTAGGAAGCATAAGATAAGCTTTTTTCAAAGGCCCAATCTCAATGTTGAAATTTTCGGTACTTCAGAAAACTACTTTTTAAGGAGGGCGGATTTTGGGTTTTTTTGGTTTTTTAATGAGGTCATTTTGACAGTGGGAGTGAAACACTTAAGAGCTTAAGACTCAAGTTGGGGTTTTTTGTTTGGGGGAGCTTTTTGTGGGTTTTTTTAATGGCATTTCAGCTGCCTTAGAAATCTTCATCCTGTATCTGTTGGAAGACCCATGGCATATCAATTCTTAAAGGGCTGGAGTTGAGACCAAATCATTTTTCAAGAGGTTTTATCCTCCCTTAATTGGATTGAGACTTTATTGGGGCTCACATTTATAAAGCTATTTTGTCATTTTTTCCTGTGGAACAGCACCTGGTGAAACTTTTGAAAGTAGTCTTGTGTATTAACTGACGTTATAGAAATCAGTTGGTAAAAGGAACTCAGGCACTTCTAGCACCGCAGCAAATGCCTATGTCTTTGGAGGCCCCAACTGCTTTTAAAATCTGCCTCTTGGGACTTCAGAAGAGAAACTGCATTCACCACAGGGTTAGTCCTTTAAAACAGCATCTGAACAGTGATGGTGCCATCATCCGGGGAGGGGGCCCTAGGGAGTTTAATCAGGATGTAAACAACTTCTATCCATTCTTCCAACAGTCGGAAAAATAGAACGTTATATGAATGAAAAGGACAATTTGAATTACAAGCAGATTAGTTTTAAGGTTCCAGTGTGGTCAGAGTAAGGGAAACTACTTCCCCCAAAAAACAAATAAAACTTGCATCTTTAGAAGATCTTTTGATCTGGTAATTAGGTATATATTTTTACACTTGTTACAAAAGGTTATTAGATGTTGAAGGTTTTTATAAATCCTTTTCTCTGAGTTGCAATAAGTTGGCAAAAACTTATTTTTAATGTATTTAGTATGCTTAATAAAGTTAGTTGTTTGAAATAATATAAACAATGTATACTCCAAAAGTTATGGGCCAGATCCGTCATTGGATATTCTAGGTGGATTACACTGCTGCAGATATCAGAAACAGCACATAAACATGGGGTTTCACTGAGCAGTGAAGCCTCTTACGATTGCCAATAACATTTTTTTAATTCCTTCTCTTTGCTGTCATATTTCAGGGAATATACTAAGATGGAAATATTTAATAAAATGCATGCAATATATTAGTGCTTCAGGAATTTAAGATTGGTTTTGCTTCACAGTTCACTACAATATTTGCAACCTAAGTACTAGAGCATTGTGCTAATACATGAGAGCAGAACAGATACTGTATGAAATTGCAGTATGACAAACAAGAGGTTGAAAGTTTTGACTGTGTCTAACAAGAAAAAATTGGCTTAAACAGTCATAGTGTTAAATAATATGTTGTACCTTGCCTTTTTACCTCAAAATCTTTAGCGTGTACTTACATTGCTTTGTTAAAACTTGCCTCTAGCACCATGAGGACAGAAAGTCTTTCCAGACAAAAAATAAGAGCTTGATTTGTGTTGAGGAACTAGAAAACCAGGAACCTATACAATACGAAAATTAGTCTATTAACCATCAGACATGAAAAAAATAACCTAGATAAATGTTACTTTTAAAAAAAAAAAAAAGTAGTATTTCAATAATGAGTTAGTAATATGCATACTACTTGTTTGCTGCTTTGGTTTGGTATTCTCTCCCAGATCAAAAATGGTTTTATTTTAAGAATTTAGTCTTACCTGTAGTTCAGCTGAAACATTAGCTTGATGATTCATTCATTAGCTGCTGAATATAGTTTCATTCCTAGCTACAAACTATAATGAATGTCTCATCAAAAAAGAGTACCAAATCTGCATCCAGATTGTCTTGGATACTGTTCTTTTTATTTTCACTTGTTCAGCTACATTCTGTGAGGTAAAGAGTTGTGGCCTGACGCTGCAGTTGCCACTCACAGAACTACGTCATATTGCAAGTGCAGGAGCAAAGATGAATTGCTTCAACTTGAATAACACATTTGCGAGATCAGGAACTCTGGTTTGTAGAATGCTATTGTCCATTGATCCTGTATTGTTCCTACAGTTTGAAGACAGGCATTCCTAGAGTTGTAGAATGTATGTTCTGGAATACTTACTACATTTTTTCAAATACTTATTTCAAAGGCAACCTACTGAAGGTCGATCCCGTGATGGTGGTTTACGTCTTGGAGAGATGGAACGGGATTGTTTGATAGGTTATGGAGCCAGCATGCTTTTACTGGAGAGACTGATGATTTCAAGTGATGCCTTTGAAGTGGATGTTTGTGGACAGTGTGGCTTGCTGGGGTACTCTGGCTGGTAAGTTGTCTAACTGTAATGCTTTTCCTAAATCATGGTGTCCCTTCCTCACTTTGTGCATGTGACATGTTTCATATTTTCAAAAAACCCCTTGACCTCAGGTGCGTAAAGCAAAGTGGTACAGAGTAAACATGCCTCTGTAACAGAACCTTGCCCTTGGTTATAGTGTTTCTCAGTTTTAAAGTGCTCGCAGACACTGATTAACAGTCCCATGCACCTTCATCAAAACCAGTGTCAACATTCAAAATCGGTGTTTGGAACGTTGGTGACAGGGGATGGTTCTTTGTTATGGTCTGATTGAAGTTAGGACTAAAGTGTGTAGTCAATAGGCCAGGGGTGTCTCCTGTTGTGGGAGCACAGGTATTGTCTTCCACAGCAAGCTGTGCTTATGGGAAAAGTTACCTTCGCTCTGCCTGGTATCCTTCTATCCCACCCTTGCAGGGGATTAGCAAACGCCCAATCCTGTATATCAGCTATTTTTTGAAAAGGGGAAAACAGCTGTGTCAATGTACTTGACTCTTCTGACATCAGAAATGATACTAGCTAGGCTAGTCACAGATCTTCCTGGTACAATCACAAGTTGAACCTCACAAGGCTGAAGAGAGAGAGTGGGCACAGAAGAATGGGAGAAGAAAGCAACATCTCCTGCTTTCTTGTTCTCTAGCTATGGAGTTCATAATCACATGCATCCCGCTTTCTTTGAGTGTGCCCCTCCCAAATGCCTTTTGCTTTGTAGTCTTGTAAAACAAGGAGCTCCTCTTCGAAGCGTCAGACAAATGCACCAATCCTATGTTGGAGCCTGAGAGACAAGCAGCTGTCTGGTTGGAAATTCAGCTGGCTTCTGCCCAACTGCCTTGTCCCTAGGAAAATTATCTCTAGTCTAGCTAATGGTCTTGCTGCCTTTCTCTGGGTCCTAAGCCAGCACTGAGTTTATCTCCTGCAAACAAACTGGTTTTCCATGTAGGGCAAACTGGATGTCAAAACTAGGTGGAGCTCACCATGTGTAACACTATGGGCTTTGCTCTAACCATCTTTTCTCTACAGTAATTTGGAGATGCTAGATTTAAAGTTGCCCTGTAGCATGCTGGAAATACACCACTATTATTAGAAGATAGCGAAACTTCTTTTTATGTTCTTTGGAGGCGAGGGAGATGTTTTGCTTTAGCTTGGTTTTGGTTTAGCCGGGCAGAAAAACAGACTTGTGAGACCAATAGGAATTTATGAGATACTACGTTCTTACAAGCTTTGTGAAAACAGGTGACCTGGAATCCCGTGACTGAGGGAGGAAAAAATAAACGGTGCGAGTTCAAGTTACAAGTTACTCTAATATTTATGTCGGGGGAAGATGGGGAGTTGGATGGAGGAGAAAGATTCATTTCTAAATACCTCAAAAGAACATTGTTGGAAACTTGCCGCATCTTGGATATCAATACCAATCTATTGGGAGAGGCAGGAAATTGGACTTTATTCACTTCAGTGCTTCGAGAGTGATTTTTCCATGATACAATGAAGTAGGAAAGTAAGGTGTGTTCTCAGTTTGTAGATGTGTAAAAGTGACAGCTACCATTTCTGCTCTTGGTCAGACCTTTCTTCTGAAGCGTATGGCTTCTGGCCAGAAACCAAGCACCGCATTTGTCTGCTAACAGCAGCAGCGGTTCTGCTTCTTGTGGGGCAGAGGTTCAGACAGAGGTAGGTAAACACATGTGAAATCCAGAGGAGAGACAAGAAACCCTGTACATGCTATTGTAGTTGGTGATTTTTAGTTGGGCATTGTCCTACTGGCTTTTGTGCAGTAAGTATTTTTGAGAGTCCTGTTTTTCTTGAGTGTGTGTACACTGTATGTAACAAGTGAGGCCTTTTTCTGATCCAGGTCTCTTAAAACTACTGCAATGCAAATAACAGCTGAAGGAAGTTGTCTGAAAGGAAGGGCATGCCGTAAGTCAAACAACCAACCACTTCTAACTGTGTAAAGCACTGCCTTCAAAAAACTCACATGCAGATGTAGCTCAATTTTTTTTTTATAAGACCTTGGCTTTCAGAGCAGTCCTTGAAGACGTTCAGAGACCACAGGAAGTGAGGGCACCTTGAAGAAAATTAGGAATTTGAAATTTAGAAATAGTATTACATAAGGTGTTGTTAATATATTTCATATTTTGAAGTTTGTAACAAAGTTTAGTAACTCTTTTTAAATAAGTGTGAAAGAAACTACTCTCTCAGACAGAGCCAGACATTCTTACAATCTGATTCTGTGAAAAGCTGTCTGATGTGTGAGAGTAATCAATAAGAGGTGGTTTCTGCTAAATGATACGCTGTGTCTACCAGTAGCTGAAGCAAGTGGCCCTATAATGAGCATCACAGTAGAGACCAAGTCATTAAGAGAAACTTCCAAACAGGCCTTTTCAGTGCTTCTGGCATTAATAGGACATTGCTGCAAGAAACCTTTTAGAAATTTGTTGTTTGGTGGCTAGCATTAAGGACACTTGTCTTAAGGAAGATGAGCCCTTCCTCCCAGACAAGAATTAGCCACTGGGTATGTTCTTCTGCAAGATAGTAACAGCAGATCAGTGTTGGGGCTTGAACTGGTACTTTTGCAAGGGAAGGAGACTGTTGTGGCAGTGACAGAATTTGTCCCTGTAAAAAATACAGTAGAAACTTACAGTGATGTACCAGTTTTATGCAAATTTTCCAACTTTACTGTTGTACAGGTGCTCAGGGGCAGGACTCCACTGAATGCAATGAGCAGAATTTGGTCCTTTTTTGATGGTTAGATGAGAAGTTATTCCGATCCCTAGAGTCTGAGCATTTTAAAATATACATGAAGAAAAATTTTGTTTCTGGTCCAGATTCAGCCTTGGCACAGTTGCCTTTTACTGTCCAGTTTAGTATCAATTTAGTACCAAATGGTCTTTCAAATACTTCAGTTTCTGTGATCTCTGTTTGACAGAGCTTTGTGCTTTGTGCTTATTGCACCTTAACCTTTCTGGGTCATCCCCATCCAAGTCCAAAGCAAGCGCAGAATGGTGTAGCTTTGAGCCTGGGTGCAGTAAGTAGTCTCTGCTCCTCAGACCCTAGTAGCTGTAATCAGATGCCAGACATCTGCTTATAGCAGAAAAGTTGTGCCTCATCAGGCTTCCAGGGCTTGCAAGGCTTCTTCTATTGAGAGCAATTGCTTGCTATGTTAGCATCAGGAAGTGGCTTCTGTTTAGGTCACTTCCTCCCACCATAAAAATGTACCTATCCCTATAAATTTGGACTAGGGGAGTAGTTACAAACCTGCAGCTGAGGTCTATTCTGTTTTAAAGGCATGCTAGCTGTAACATTTCCTCTATGTAACAGTGTCTGCAGGAGAAGCCTGTTCCAGCAAAACACCTAGTTCAGTCTATTACCTTCTTACTCTCTATAGTCAGATTTAGACAAAGCCAAAGCAATTACTGGGAATAAGTAAAGCTTCATTCCTCATCATGAACTGCAGAAATGTAAGTAAGGCTTCTGTACCATTGGTTGAAACCACAGTTTTCTTGGAAAATAACCAGCTCTTCAACATGATCTTTAAGTATGTCTGCAAAAAAGGAGTAGCAGAGTCTGAAAAAGTAACTGGAAGACTAATGCCAATTCTCATAACCAAGAACCTTATTAACGCTAACCAACTTTATTGGACCTGTCCCCATTGACTTTCATATGCTCTAGGTCAAGTGTACTGGTAACAGAAACAAGTGACTAAGCATTGGCTTTATTGTAGGTGTTGACTCTCAGCCTCATTCTGTACCACAGAAGCATGTAGGAATTTTGCTAATTCTTCCTTAATTGGATCTTCAGACTTTATTCCAGAGATATAAATTTGAAACACAGAAGCAAAAAAAGAGCTTTGTTAGACCATTAGGAAGTGCTGAGTCACTCTGTGTTTCCAAAGGCCTGGCTTTCTCAACTCTCCAAAACCAGAAGATGGAATATACAGGAGAATGAGGACATAGGGAGGCTGGAAACTGATATTTATAAGAAAGATTTTTTATTTCCTTTGTGTGTACACAGAGTATGAAATTAAATAATTTAAACAGTTGCTACCACCACTGAATTTGAGTCCTGATACTGGAAAGATGGCTGAATGACCAGCCTATATATTCCTTATATGGTCAAGGTTATATCTAAATGACAAAAAATCCCTTTCCCCCAGAATTTTAAGATCATTATTTGAGTAAAGAATGCAAAGAATATGTGTTAAAGCAGTTTTACTGGTTTCCTAAACCTAGACTAAAGCTTTGGCTGTTCACACAGAAAGATGTAAGATGAGAGATGCCTCTTTTCTGGAATATGAACTGATTTGAGACATTAGAGGGTGGAATTGCGTATAAGGAAAAAACCTAAGTGTGAACCTTCTTTCTTCCAGCCTCTTTTTCGTGGCATATATATAAGACAGAAACTGGACCATTAACCATGTTTTCAGAAATACTTTGCTTTGTTCACCTGCTTTCTCTCATTACACAATGCTGAATTTGTGTTGGCAGTTATGTGAGTGGTGAAGAAGTAGAAGTTGGTCCTGTTAGCTACTGAGCATTGTGATTCTCCTCCAAGAAAAGTGCAGGTTTAACATTAAGCTCCTATTGACTTCAGTCAGATTATTTAAGGGCTTAAAGTTATGACTAACTTAAGTGCTAAAATGTGTCTTAAGCACTTGGCTCTCTCTAGGACTGAGCCCAGTGTTGGAGGAAGGTGGACAAAGAAACCAATGGATAGTGTTGTTTTCTGCAGAGCCTTCATTTATGCACCAACTCTGACTTTCTTTTTGTTTCCCTAGGTGCCACTACTGCAAATCATCATGTCATGTGTCTTCTCTGCGCATACCTTATGCCTGTAAACTCTTATTCCAAGAACTGCAGTCAATGAACATCATACCTAGGCTAAAACTAGCTAAGTACAATGAATGAACAAGATGAGAAAAAGTACTTTACAGAAATTGAAATCCAGCATGTATAACTGGAAGATTTTTTTGGTGAACAGGAATAACTCTAAAACCTGAGTGGGTAGAAGGGAGGTGCAAGACAGTGTAAGAAATCTTTCTTACATATCCTACCCTGTTGACAGGGGAGACTCTGTCAGTAGAATACACTAGGAGCAGTTCTGAAAGCCTTGATTAGTCTGAGTGAACAGGACGTGTGGGAATTGTGGAATAAGGCCATGATCCAGCAAAGCACTTGCATCCCTTCAAACAACCCCAGGCTTGGTTTTGAAAAGTGCTTTGCTGGACTAGGGCTTGCGGTGAGCTAAATGCACATCTTATTTATAGAGGTTAAAAATGTCTTCCAGACCAGTGTAATATGAAAGACTAATAAATGTTTTAAATAATACTGCCTGAATATGTGTTGATGGTTGTGTAGGGATGGTAAAGCCTTCTTATAATGTCTAAACCATTTTCCTATTCCTAAAGCGTTTTGTTAAAGCGTTAAAATTTTGTTAAGTAGTGTCAGGCTTAGAGAAATGAAACTACTTTCTCAAGAACTTGAAATCAGACGTTTTGAGTGGGATTTCAATACACAGGTGCATTTGTATGCCAGCAATGGTGTGATTATACACTCAGTCTGCTTTCAGCTAAACATACGCAGTTTCCATGAAGTTCAAGGGAGGTGACTGCATATGCTGCAAGTGCATGATACAGCTTACAAATATTTATTCAATTCCTACTGAATATAGTAGATTTAATAATACACTAGCCCAAAGCCCTGAAAAGATGGGCTGCAAACTCTAGGTATTGATGTATGCTGTCCTAGGACTTCAAAGTTTTTTTTAAATATGGGCCTAGCTAAAACTTCTTTTAAGAACAAAACAAAAAAAAAAAGAACGAGGGAGAACAACAAATCCTCCACTGACAGTGAAGCAGGTTTGAATGACCTGAAAGGATTTAGAAAGGGAATAGCTGATTTTTTTTCATGAGATCTAAGGCCTAGAACTAAAGCAGTGGATGAACTAAGAGTCACTTAGTACCCTAAACTCACTTGAGCCCTTACTCAGCAAAGCATATGGTTAACTTTTTAAGCAAAGGAGTAGTTCCACTGAAGTCAAGATGAAGTATGTGCATGTTTGCGTGCTTCAGAGAAAGGCAGTACTCTAGAGTGAGGATACAGAACACTGCCTATAATCTGGAAGTCCTGAGATGCTCTTTGGCTCCTCGTATGGCTGAATTGTGCATGCCGATCCTGACACTGTTCTTGCAGTCATGTTGCTGCTGTTCTCTTAGCTGCTTAAGAAGCACAGATCAGTATCAGCCTGAGTAGGCTTGCTTTTTAAGCTTCCACCAAAATGCTTGAATTGGTAGTTTTGTGTCTGGGCTTACAAATCAAGTCTGAAGGGATAGATTTTTTTTTTTTTTTTTTGCAATTGGACTAATGACAGCACAGATGTCAGTACAGCACATTTGGATTGGAAAAGCTCTTGAAGCACCTCTACCAGGATCTGAACAGCTCAGGGCTATTTACAAAGAGGTATAAGAGAGTGACGTACTGCTTCACACTGGAGGAAGAGGTTAACCAAAAGCCCCAACTGAATTAAAAACCTTTGCTTTGCTCCCTGAGATTCTCAAACTGAGGCTCGGGTGCACCAGCAGAGGGAGTGAGCCTCAAAGGCTACGGCCTACTGGTGAGGGAAAGTTTTGACCTGGATCGAGGAAACTACGCTGAGGATAAGGTAGGTGTTCTTGCTAGCTAGGCCCCTCTTAAGTGGTCTTCTAGGTTAGATGGTATGAGCTACAGGACATTAAAGACTAAGCAATGTGTACATTTACACGTGCAGCAATTTAAGCAGACATGGCAGAGATGAAGAGGAGGAGTGGAGGAGTGTGCTCATGAGTTACCCTACTGAGAGAAGAGGTCTACGTGCAACTCTGAGGTGTAACCTTGCAGCTAGTTTACCTCAAACTGGTGAAAGCGTGGGGATGAAAGGTTTTGTGAGGGTGAAGGAAATCCTCTGCGATAGCTGAAGTTTAGGAGGAAAGGGGCAGCCTTAGTAATGATAAATCCAGTAGAACATAGTCATGTCTGGCAGTAAGTGAGGGTCACCCACTACCAACTGTTCTGGTGATACCTACATCAGTTCCATTTACACATCACTGCTGTCTAACCTAAGCCTGTGCACACACCGGAGGCTTATTTGAGTGCAGATTTGAGTTGAAACTCTGATTTTTTTACTTTTTGCCTCTCTTTAAGAGGCTACCTATGTTCCATCATAGTAGATACCTGCAAGTAATCTCTTGGCAATGGAATCAGCATTACAAAACCAGCAGCAGAAACAGAACAAACAGCTATGGATTCCTGGAATACGGTTGGTCAAAGTGGCAATTCAAGGAAGGAATCCTACTGCAGCCAGGAAAAATTATGACGCATCAACTGAGGAGGTAAAATACATTCTCAGAACCCCAGAGCTGTCACACTACTTTTCTCTGGTGAGCCTCATCTTTGCAGCCCTTTGAATTATCTTCCTAGCCAACCTCCTCTCCCCCCCTTTTTATACAGTGAATGCCTTCACAAAGAGGTCTCACGTCAGCTAATGGCTGTATGGCTGTAACTAGACTTGCCCGAATCAATCCTGCCATGACTATTTGTCTAACTGCTGAAAGAGATACAATATTCTGAACAACACTTGACAAAATCTTAAGGCTTTAGCACAAGGAGCTGTGGCTAGAAAACTGCCATAAAGTTTTCGCTCCATTGCAACTTCTTTATCTCTTGTATTTAGTGTCCAGGAAAGGCTTTCTAGAAATGCTATTCAGCATGAAGGTCACTAGCGTTAGTCCCAGCTGAAATGCCGAATACAGTCCGCCTTCTGAGATAAGCTAGAGGTATGTGCTGCTGTTGGAAGAGATATCTAACTCCATATAGTATGTTTAAGTTGCCATTTACTTTGCAGATAAAGGATTAAATGCTATTAAAAGGTAGAAGCATTTACAGGCCTAGAATTCAGTAATCAAGTCTATTATTTCACTGCAAAACAAAGACATTAAGTAAAAGCTACCCCTTTAAACACCATACATGTCCAGCTCTACTGTTTTGTTGTGAGAAACAGAATCAAGCCGGGGGTGGGCTGCAGGATGTTGTGGGACAGAGTAAAGCACAGGTCTTTTAGCCAATTCTGGAACTGTGGGCAAGGTAGGTCGCTTGTTCAGAATTCACAAAAAGAGCCTCACTTCGAGCCGTTTACATAACTCTTACAAGTTTTTGACTTTTTTTCTTTTTTTTTTAGGTAAATGTTTCCAAACATAGAAACTAAAAAAACAAACTATAAAGAAAAATTAAACCAGGCTGGCCAATTTTGGCATTCAAAGAGGATACAATATGAAATATAGGCATACTGAGATTTAATAATTTTAAGATGTGGAAAGTAAAGGGCTCCCAGTAAGCACAACTGGGTTTGTTTGTAATGTCCATATCTCGTTAAGAGTTTTGCTTACAAAGAACCTTCAATGTGCAGCAAAGAGAGCTTTTAATTCTTTGGGCTCCCTACTTACTTGTTGCTTAAACAGGGAGAAAAAACAATTAAAAACATAGACCCACAATGATAAGAAATTACTGTATGTCGTTTCTCGGGTTTTCTGATGGTAAATAGAAAAATACCCATGGTTTATAGCAAAATGGGAGTACCTCATAATTAAAAGCCTAAAAAGACTGAAGAATAGTTCATCTGTTAGTGATAACACATGGCAAACTAATGAATAGTGCTGTGCATCTGAAAACGGGTTTGTAAGCCCTGCTCAGAACACACCTGTAAAGCCTGATGGCAAGTGTAACCGTCTTCACGCATAGCTGCAAAACCAAACTAGAGGGACTGAAAACATGTCTGTACTTACTCCGTCTCGAGGCTCTTGAGGTCTAGGATGGCCCTAGTGCGAGGGAGCACAAGCCCTGAAACGACCTAACCGGCTCCCAGCCCTCCCATGGTGACCCACAGGAGCAGCCTGGGGAGGACAAGCCCCCATCAGCCGTGTCCCAGCACAAGCGTCCCTGGGCCGTGACACAGAGCTGGCTCAACACTGCCGAGAGGCCCCTCCAGCCGGCCTCTCCTCCAGTTGGAGCCGAGGATTGTTTTACAACCCATTGCCGATTCAGCAGGGCCATGGGGCACTTGATGAATTCCCGCCTCCGAAGAGGACGTGACTTGCCCAGGGCCACAGAGAGACCGTGCCAGAACTGGGATCAGGACTCCGCAGTCCCCAGGTGCCAGACACGTGCTTGCCTTAAAACTGAGCACTTCATCAAACCGTAAAATCCAGCCAGATGGTGACTCTTTGCTATTATCTGGACCGGTGCTGGGAGGCTTAACGTGTGCAAGGCACGGGGAAGATCTGGATTCCAGTTTCTGTGTCTAAGGCTCAGAAGCCCAGAAAACAGATCCATGATTTAGACCTAAATGCTGCTAGAAACTTGAACATGTTTGAACCCACGTTCTGACTTCAGTCCATCCTTCTCATGAAATGTTTCCATCTCAGCCTGAACCCACCGGTTTCGGTGGGGAAGTTCTTTCTTTGGGAAGGGGCAGAGAGGCGCAGGAGTAAGAACTGGCTACTTCGTCAACCTTATTCTGCCCTGTGTACATGGCCCCAGTCAGATTCTCTTCTTCCAGGTAGTAAAGCCTGCATGAATCGGCCAGTGGATCAGTTTTGCCTCTCGGCAGTCGTTTAAGAACTTAGTGTATGGACCCAGGAGGCAAATACACCCTCTCTGCCTTCCTTCCATACGTATGAACACATGTCTCAGAACACCAGAACTCTCAGTTAAACTCTCCAAACCCAGGTCAGAGCCAATACAGAGATTTTTTGCAGTTGGAATTTTTAAAAACTGGTTTATATGGCTTCATTCCTATCTTGAAGTCAGCAGCAAAGATTTCTGTTGGCTACCCTGTGAACGGACTTGGGCCTTTGTTCCATCTTCAGAAAAATCCTTCCAAGCTTGTGAGCAGGCCGTTGCTCTTTGTATCTTGCTGCTGGGGGAAAAGAAAAACAACTATGTATTTCTCCTAATTACAGTTACTCCTTTATTTGTGTATTTCCTGAGACAGGTATCTCTGAGGTGGTTCCAATGACCATGTACTTTTTCCAATAGCTTCATTGTGCATGTCTTTGTCCCCTCCTCCCAGTCAGTATATAAACAGCATGTTAGTTCCAAATCAAAAGCAATTCCCTGCTGCTAACTGCAGCGGAGCCTTTGTCTTTCATTAGCATGAGTTTTGGGAGCTACTTGACCTATGCATATGCTTTACCATTCCA